CAAACCTTAATTAGATTTCCACATAAAGGATATATCTTTTTAACAAATAGAGGAGGTGAGGGTCTGTGGAATACAGTAGACTTTCCTAGAATAAACATCCTGCAAGTGGTCTCTAACAGGGGTAGTAGTTTGTTATTAAAGGATATTCAGAATATGTAACTACATAAACAGCCTCATGTCATTCAAACTCTATTGTTTCAGTTTAATTATTGCTTTGTTGTTTGGTCCAATACATCATTTTATATCTTCCTCTATGCTTAATTGTCTGCGACTGTAAGCTGTCAGACATTTGTGATGCCCTCAGGCTGCCGGAGTTCCAGCGACAGCTGGATCTGAAGGACAATGAGCTGGGGTCGTCAGGAGAGGAGCTGTGTCAAAGTTGTGCACAAATAACAGTTTGGTGAGTAAAACCATCTAAAGATGGCTTTAATGGCAACTCATTTCCACCAAAAACAACAGAATTTCTCAGCAGTGATCTGTTGAAATGGACAATTATTGTTAAACACTGCTTGGCAATTTACAGAGAGGACCCTGAGATGTTTATTACTCAGCATCTGAATCCAGCAAGAGTAAAAAAAATGACTGATTTTCAAGAACAATAATGGATCAGTGAGATTTTTGTTCATGATTTTTACTGTTAATTGAGCCAACACCAAAGTCCTAGCTGAAGGCAATGCTGTTATCTCCTCTTTAACAGGGACCAAGAAGAAGTGCTCCACCAGTCAAGATGTTTGTTTGACATTTATTCATCTAGTTTGGTCAACAACTCATGTTCAGGCGTAGAGTCAAGAAAAACATAAACACAAATACCTATTTACTATAGCAACAGTAAATAATGAACATGAGCTAAAATCAGGCAATAAACAAGTACTGAAAAACAAAAAAATGACAGGTCATATGAGAAATATGATTTAAAAACAAAATATTTCTCTGAGATTTTGAGTGAATTTTGCTTCTGACATTAATTTTATTGCGTAATGTGTGTGTGTGTGTTTGTCTGTATGTGTGTGTGTTTGTCTGTATGTGTGTGTGAGATGAAGCTACTAAGTGAATGGAAGTCAATACAAAGTCCTAACCTGGGCAGAAATACAAACTTGTGTGAGAGTTAAGATCTCTTAATCAAAATGTCAAAAAATAAAATAGAATACATGAAATATACTTTTGAAAAACTAAACTAGTATTTTCATCTCAATTTTTTATTTACGGTACATTTATTACTTATATTACCATATCACTGCATATATATGCAGTAGTGTATTAAGAAACATTTCTGAGTAAGTGTTAAACTTTTTAATGTTTACAGTGAAGATATCTGATTCTATTTCTGGGATTTATTTCTCATCATAAACTATGTCAGAGAAACTCGTTTGTATCTTAGTGCTGCTTTGGTTCCTTCATCCATTTTTCTCTTAATTTCCTCCAGTTTCTGGACTTTCTTTGTGTCTCCCTTTTCTTTTGTCTTCTCAATCAGGAGGTCCAAGTGGACATTAATGGACACTGAATCAACTTTGAGAGCAATCTGCTCCAGTCTGATGACATGTTGGTAGGCCTCATCCACAAGTTTGAATTTCTCTTCCAAAAGTTGCTGCATTTCCTTTTCATTGTTTTCCAGAAGATGTTTCTGGTTCTCAAACTTTGTTTTATTTTCACAGTCATGTTTCATCTTTGGCATCATCTTCTGAACTCTCCTTGTTTTGTTGACATATATCCACTTTTCTTTAACATGAACTGATGCAGGACACTTTTTGGAACAAACGGTGCAGCGGCCTCCTCTCATCACCTCACAGAACTCAGGGAGCCAGGTCTTGGTGCATCCATCTTTGTGACAGTTTTCCTTACAGACAGGACAGGTCACAGCTCCTTGATAGAAGATGAGCCACTTCTGTCCACCTTTGATAGGTTCTTTAGTAACATAGGGTTCGTCGACATGGATAGTGACCTCTTTTCCCTTCATCTCTTCTTCATGCATCTTCAGTCCTTCATGGATCTGTTTGATTTCTGTCTGCTTCTGTTCAGTCAGTCTGATTCTCTCCAGCAGGTTTTGGATGCAGGCTGTCAGTCTGATGCGTTCATTCATCACTTCAGTTGTTATTTTCAGCTTTTGAGGTGAACTATTTTCAACAAAGGCTGTAAACTCGCGCATTCCTTTCTCTGATATTCTATCAGCTACTTTACAGTACTCTGCTTCGTCTGTGCGGTCTTCATTCTGCTGGTTGTTGAACAAGAAATAAACTGGTTGATTGTTTTCATTTTTTGCACATCTGAGGTTTGCAGCTTCAATAGCCTGAAGGGGATTTTTAGGTGTTCTCCCATTTGAGTGAGTGATGAGAGCCACAATGTTTTTCTCCATGTCGTTTCCAAACAGAGACATCACCGAATCAAAGATGTACATCAATCTGTCACTTAGTCTGTTATCAGTTGCCTTCATCACCAGACCTACTGCATGAAGTATGTGAACACCGTTTTCTGTCTCAAACAATTTGCGCATCCTGTCAATGACTATGTCATCGTGCTTGATTCCTTTGGTGTTTCCATATCCAGGAGTATCAATGATGGTGATCGAATAGGGCAGAATTTTACCTTCAGAATTACAGATCTCATATATGATCACATCAGGTGTTTCACCTTCTTGTCTATCTATGATCTGAAACCAGACCCCATCCTCAAACTGAACTCCCATTACATGGTTGAAAATAACATTGACCAAAGAGGATTTTCCTGACCCTGTTTCACCAACAAGTAAGATGGTTTTATTAATCTGCTTAGTGTCTTTTGTACCAAAAGTCACTTTGGACAGAGCTCCAAACTTCTTTGTTTCTGTTTTCAGCTGATAGATGTTTGGATGTCCTGAGGAGATTAAGTCACTAGTGGAAATCAGTTTTGTCAGAGTGGGATTCTCGATCCTGCAAAAGAAAAAGCACAGACTTGCTCAAAGGACCTTTGATCTTTGGTACATATAGGTAAAGTATTTCTGATAGAGTTTAATGGGAGATATTGTTTACCGTGTCAGAGACAAAATCCAAACAATTCAAAGGCTATTCAGGAGTACTTAAAATGTTAGTCTTGACCATCTTCTTTGCTAATACACTACAGGGAACATGTCAGTTCAGCTAAACAAATGCATTCCTATTATTTTCTTCTAAAATGTGAAATGTTTTGTCCTTGTTATTTAATAATTTCTCTGTCCACCCATGTACCAACTGGTTTCTCAAGATTAAAGCATTTTGTTCTGTATGCTATAACTATAACTACCTTGATGTAATATAACCCTAAGAAAGCAATGCCCATTATCCAATGAAGATTCCTTTATTCAAAGCCAAAGAAAGACAAGTTCACTTTAACAAGCCAAAGTCAATTGTACAACCAAGAAAATTGATTACAATAATTTTCTATCATTTTAACACCTTTTAAACTGTAGAGAACCATGTTTTAAAGCATTTAACAAGTTCTGACTTTGTTCGTCTGATTGGACCCAAT